GTTGTCTACTCTCATAAAAATCCTAGTGTCATATGCAAAGGATGATACGGTACTATAGTTTGTGTCCTTGTCTATGTCCGATATCAGAATGAGAAAAAGTACTGGAGCAAGCACAGTACCCTGGGGAACTTATTTTTATTTTTTTATTTTATTTTATTGACTATGACACATTGTGTTCTGTTAATCAGGAAATTTTTGATGAATCAACCTATTTTTCCGGTAATTTCTTTCGAATGTATTTTGTGTGCAATAACACAAACAATAACACAAAATACATTTGTCGAAAGCTTTTGCGAAATGTGTGTAAATTTGCATCAGCGTTTTGCATGTCACCCATGGCATCTAAGGTCATGTCATAGTGGTCTGGCAACTGTGATAGGCAAGAGTGCCCTGTTCTGAAACCATATTGTCCAAAGTTACGGAGATGCTGTAAATCCTTGTATTTTGTGATCTTATTCCTTAGCACTCTTTTAAAAGATTTTTATGATGTGTGATGTTAGTGCTATCAGTCTGTAATTTTATGCCTCTGCCTTATTTTCTCCTTTAAGGAGTGGTGCTATCTCTGCTGTTTTAAGTATGTCAAGGATAATGCCAGTATCTAGGCTCTATCACCAAAGAATGTGAAGAGATCTGCAATTTTTTTTTTTACATTTCTTGATGAATATAGTTTCAAGAATCAGGGCCTGGTGCAGGGTGCATAGGAATACAGTCCATGGCTTTTTCAAAATCCAGTGGGGATAGGGTGACATCTGACACATGATTTGAGGTTGGCATCACATCCATGAAGAATTCATTTGGGATATCAATCTTTAGTGTGGTTAGTGGCTCGCTGACAACAGTCATACTGATTCCTCAGTATTTCGCTAATTTCTTTGTTGTCATCTGTGAAAATTCCATCTCCCTTTTGCAGGGAATTGATACTAGATGTAGTTTTTTTTATCTTGATTTTGCACAGGAGAATTTTTTTTTTTAATTTCTCTCTATCACCAATGACCTTTTGCTCTCTTTGTCTCTCCTGGATTTTGTACGATTCTTGTAGCTATAGTTCAATCATTTCTACTTCTCTACCTAGTCTTCGTCGTTCTTGAGATAGGGGTGTGACTCAAGTTTTTCCGCGATTTATTTTCTTTGCCTAAATAGGGAATGCTGTTCCCATTCCAATTTCCATCTCATCCTCTTTTTTTCTTAGGTGTAGCAGACAAGCAAACCGGCTGGGAGCCTACACCAACCAGTTGTCGAGATAGGCCAAGACACGAAGACCTAGCAGATGAAGACAGAACCACCCCGACACGAGGCAAACGTGTAAAAACGTGAGATGCCAAATCAACTTGGAAGGGAGACAATATAAGTAGTAAGCATGTTGCCCCACGATAAAACTGAACCAAGCCCTGAAACCAGACCGATAAGAACGTGACGACACGCATCACTGAGGTCCAGGGAAGCATCCAAGCACCTTGATCGAAAACGAGCCGAACTTGGGACAACGGGGTCATCTGAAAGAAGGGGCAAATCCACTCTGAGATGACCCAACGAATGGACAGGGATGAGGCCTGCCGCCCCCAAGACCTAACCCCGCCCCCCACTAAGGGAGGACAGGCCACCCAATTCCACCAAAGGCCGTAAGAATGACATGAAAAGCCCACAAGTCGTGGGATCAGGCATTGGCAAAAGGTCGAACCTCCCCCCATAACTCTGACAACGGGGTGACCCGCGACAGGGCCAATGCAAACCCCAAAATGCTGATTCTCGCACAGAGCCAACACCACACTAACAAGAGTAAGAAGGCATCGGGAAGCTCACCGAAACAAAAACTGGTTCCAGAGACCTACCCTGACCAAGTGAGGCCTGAGCCCTGGCCCAACCATTCTGGGAGGGCCAGGAGTGACCTCCCCCCCCCCTCCTGAACCAACAAAACCAAAATAGTCCAGTAACAAGCAGAAGCCGCCTACAGAAACTGAGCAACACGGTCCTCCAGGAACAAGAGAAAACGACAAAGAAAACTATAGAGCCAGGTTACAAGCTGAAGCCAACAACAGTCAGCACAGCCTGCTGACACACGAGATAAGAAATGAAAAATGTTGAAAACTACCCTCTGGGGGATCGGCGCAAACAGCATCAGCAAGGCAGATGATGCGGAAGCAGCTGAGACCAAGACCCCAGGCGAGGATCCCCCACCTTGCACTCCCACATCCACTGAAAGCCAATCCGAAGACAGAGTCAGAAGACGACCAGCCTAACATCATGAGGAAGCAAAGCAGCAAAGATGCAATTACTGAGAAACTCCAGAGAGCCCCACAAGAACACCAGCAACACCGTGGAAACCTCCCGCAACTCAAGCGTGCTGTTGCAACAAAAGCCACGAGAAGCCCATAGAGAGAAGAAGGAATAGTCTGCCGGCCAGGAAAATCCCGGAACCATGGAACATCCCCCAAAATGGGTAAAGGAGCTGAACTTTAACCCTTAAACTGCGCATGGCGTATATATACGCCCTGAGTAACATGTCCCATGGTGCGCATGGTGCATATATACGCCATAGGGTGCCAGGCCTGATTCAAATGGCCCGCGGCTACACGGGGTTCACAGTAGCTTCCTCAGGGCTCTTGTAAACAGATGCCATTTAAAAAAAAAATCGTGTGCAATATTCTCAGGTGTGAGAGGCACAGTACTGTTGGAGCAACCAAGGCCGGCGCACGCAGCATGAGCGAACAGCATTGATGTTCAGCTTGTGACCACAGCATCGCCGAAAAATGTCAAAATAAATATATAATTGTTATTATTTAGCGATGACAATATTACAGATGACCAATGACTGTGATATAAATAACCAGGGTTGTGATAATAGCAGGATTGTTGTAATAATTAGCCCTGTGGGAGGAGTGATGCTGAGAGACGGAGGGAGACAGCATCGTTTACTGACTGTGTGGCCACCTGTTATTGTTTGCATTCACCATACCAGGTCAGTGGTTCTTTATGGTGAACACAAATGTAGATACTTATATATAATGTGTGTATTAGTGTAATAACAGCAAAAGGATTATGCTGGGAGGAGCCATATGGGTGACGGAGGTGACGTCGTCTGCACGATTTGTCTAGCTGTTTAGAGGGTGGCCACTATGCTCTTTGGGGGCACTACAAGCTTAGGTGTACAGTTACGGTGCAAAAAACATGTAGATATTTATATATAATATGTGTATATAGGGTAATAACACTGCAAAAGGTATTGTTGGGGGAAAAAGTTTAGTGTGTGTGACCTTGAAAGAGTGAGGGAGCTGCCAGCCGCCATCTGTGTATAGCGACGACTCTTAGTGCCTGAACTAACTATATCAGCTTAGCTGTACAGTTGTGGTGAACAAAATATACACATACTTATATATAACGTCTGTATATAGTGTAATAACACCACAACTGGTATTGTTGGGGGAGAAAGTTTAGTGCGTGTGTTGAGGGAGTGGCAGCGAGTGGCTGGCTGGTGTGTGGCGGTAACTCCTCGTTGCTTTTCGACTCTCAATACCAACTTCGTGGTTCGCTATGGTGACCAAAATATGCAGATACTTATATATAACCTGTGTATAGAGTGTAATAGCAGCAAAACTATTTGTTTATTGTTTTATAAACATAATAATTGAATCACTAATATGCACATCATACTTTTGAGTATAGCGATTATTAACCACTTTTATTATATAAATATATTACAATACACACTATTGAATAATATTACTGCAAAAAAACTAAGAAAAAATCAATCGGAGACATTGAAACAATTAGGTAATAATATCTTTGTGGCAACTCCCATCTGTCAACGCGGGTGACGCTGACCGGGTCTGACGACCGCTCTGTCAACGCCCACTTTTTGCCAGACTTCCTCGGTCAATTGCGCCCAAAATATGTCACCTACGATTTATTTTTTATTTTTTCCGTGCTCAGGGGACACAAATTAACATGTTTAGAAGACGAAAAAAAATTTTTGAATTTTTTTTTTTCTTGCGCACAGGGGTGTAAATGTCCCAAGGACCCCTGAGCAGTGTTAAGGGTTAAAGAAGCCAGATCCAGCACCGAGGCAGATGGCAGATCCAACACCGAGGCATAAGGTGTGTCTCTTAGGAGGTAAGCACTGAAAGTTTCCTGAACCATCGCAGGGAAAATTCGAGAAAAAGAAAACCTCCAAATGGGCGAATCCAAGGAACACAAAGGCCCCCTTCCCCGGAAACAAACCCAGGGAAGAGGCAACATGCTCAGAATGGGAAGGAGGGTATGAATTGCTTGTCAATTCATGCCAAGCAATTCATATGACAAGTGACACGAACATCAACGGGAGTGAAACCCAGAATGTCCCAGGGAAGAAAACCTAGAACACACAAGGGCAGTACCTACCAGGTGCCTAGGGAAGGTAGCCCTAGACACATGCAGCCCTAGTACTCTTGAACACCTGGCCACCACACCAAACAACACAGCCGGCACATCCACACAGGATAAAATCCAGGCAGGAGAATGAGGCTCGAGATAATGTCAGCTCTATACGACATCAGTTGACAAACTGCCGGTGTCACCACTTTAGCCGCCTTGGACCCCCTCCCCCTCCCAAGGAAGGGGGAGTCGCTAACGAGAAGGCACGCTAGTTGAGTGGACATTTGCTTGTTTTGTTGTTTCCTCTTGGGGGGGGGGGGGTGTTCTTGGGCTCGGTTCGATCTTGGGTAGCAATATTTTACCAGTAGGGGTTTGTAATGGTTTACCTACCTTTCTGGGAGATACCCCTAGTTGATAGCAGAAATGACTATACCTGTACTCTCAAAAAGTGGAGTGTTCATAAGCCATTGCTCCCTGCGCCTCTCTGAGGAAACCAGGTTCTGGCTCATGGTTTCCGGTAGGCAAGAACTCCAGTAACTGACACTCAAGACTAATATAATGAATCTCAGCCTGTTAGTTTCTAGGAGAGGATGGGGCTCCCCTCAGAAAACTTGCAAGTTATTATACAGTGAAATGATATATACAATACTTACCAACTATGGTTCCCATACTTCTTAGAATAGAATTAGGATTCTGACAAAGATTTTTCAAATTCCACGGATGTTTTGCTAGAGGTGACATTCGATGGTTGGGAAATCCATAACCATGTTCTGAAGTGTCAATGCTAGCAGACAGCACACACACATGGTGGGTTCCATTGACTATTAGTGACCAATATCTTTCATCCACATCAAGGCTAGCAGGATCAGGTTGCCATTGTGTTGCAGTGTTCCGAGCAATACGATAAAATGTACTTAGAGCTGTGCTCTTACCCTGCAAAAACAAAGTTACAATCATTACTGGCAGTAATATCCAAGTGCTCTTACTTCCCACATATAAACATTTCACATAATTAAAAAAAAAACTGGTCAGCTCCATACATGGTCATCACATGCTGATCAACATATCCTCTTCCATCATACATACAACTTGTTTACCACTAATCATTTCCTCAATACAGTGCACCCCCAATTCGGTGAATCTCTGGTTACGATGCACACTTTTCAGGCTGGATTTACTCACCCGATTCGCCAAACTATGGTTCTTTGAAGTGGGGATGTGCGGATGTGCTTACAATGTTAAGACAGAGTTCACAGATTGGTGGAAAAAATTTCTATTATATCACAGGCTACAATTAATAATTCCTTCATATGATAAATTGGACCACACAAGTGGTCCACACAACAAGTGCACCACATGTCCTCAGGTGACAGTTTTCTATCTAGAACCACCCCTAGATCCCTTTCTTTGTCAGAATTCTTTAAAGATTTCTCACAACCTATAAATTATGTGAGAAATCTTTAAAGAATTCTGACAAAGCAAGGGATCTAGGGGTGGTTCTAGATAGAAAACTGTCACCTGAGGACCACATTAAGAACATTGTGCGAGGAGCCTATGCTACACTTTCTAACCTCAGAATTGCTTTTAAATACATGGATGGAGAAATACTAAAGAAATTGTTCACGACTTTCGTTAGACCAAAGCTGGAATGTACAGCGGTTGTATGGTGCCCATATCTTAAACACATCAACAAACTGGAAAAGGTGCAACGACATGCCACTAAGTGGCTCCCAGAACTGAAGGACAAGAGCTACGAGGAGAGGTTAGAGGCAATAAATATGCAAAAACTAGAAGATAGAAGAAAAAGAGGCGATATGATCACTACGTTCAAAATAGTAACAGGAATCGATAAAATTGATAGGAAATAATTCCTGAGACCCGGAACTTCAAGAACAAGAGGTCACAGATTTAAACTAACGAAACAAAGCTGTCGGAGAAATATACGAAAATTCACTTTTGTAAACAGAGTGGTAGACGGTTGGAACAAGTTAAGTGAGAAGGTGGTGGAGGCCAAAACCGTCAGTAATTTCAAAGCATTATATGACAAAGAGTGCTGGGGAGACGGGACACCACGAGCATAGCTCTCATCCTGTAACTACAATTAGGTAATTACATTACCACATTGCATCACATTGTTGCACAAGCAACACATGGACAAAGGAAGAACTGGATGTCAAACGAGAGGGCCTCATAATGGTCATGAGAGAGATTGTGGTAAGAGCTGACAAAGATAAATCCCGATTGTTGGTACTGGGGGATTTCAACTTTAAGGCAATAGACTGGGAGGCCTACGAGACAAGAACAGAGGACATTTGGACAGGCAGATTTGTAAACCTTATCTTGGAGACATCCATGTATCAACACGTCATGCAGGCCACAAGAATGAGGGGAAGGGGATGTTCCGTCAATACTGGATCTAATATTCGCCAGGAAAGAAGAAGAGGTATTTGACATCCAGTACTTTCCTTCCTTGGGAAAGAGTGATCACGTCTTCTTGGACATTAAATACGCTTTGCGATATAATCTAGTAGAGAATGGGGGACATTGAAACAGTTGTTAAACTCTATTTCAAGAGAGGACGCTATGGGGAACATTTTTTTCATGGGTATAATTGGACAGACTTGTTGCTAGGTAAGGAAGTAAATGAGATGTATGCCACATTTTGTGAAATATACGATGAAGGAACACAAACATTCATACCAATACAGAGATGCAGACCTAGGGGTTCAGTTCTTGCACCGGTGATGTTCATTGTCTACATAAATGATCTACCAGTTGGAATACAGAATTATATGAACATGTTTGCTGATGATGCTAAAATAATAGGAAGGATAAGAAACTTAGATGATAGTCATGCCCTTCAAGAAGACCTGGACAAAATAAGTATATGGAGCACCACTTGGCAAATGGAATTTAATGTGAATAAATGCCATGTTATGGAACGTGGAATAGGAGAACAAAGACCCCACACAACCTATAAATTATGTGAGAAATCCTTAAAGAATTCTGACAAAGAAAGAGATCTAGGGGTGGTTCTAGATAGAAAACTACCACCTGAGGACCACATAAAGAACGTTTTGCGAGGAGCCTATGCCACGCTTTCTGACTTCAGAATTGCATTTAAATACATGGATGGCGATATACTAAAGAAATTGTTCATGACTTGTTAGGCCAAAGCTAGAATATGCAGAGGTTGTGTGGTGCCCATATCTTAAGAAGCAAATCAACAAACTGGAAAAGATGCAAAGACATGCCACTAAGTGGCTTCCAGAACTGAAGGACAACAGCTACGAGGAGAGGTTAGAGGCATTAAATATGCAAAAACAAGAAGATAGAAGAAAAAGTGGCGATATGATCACTACAAAAAACTAAAGTTGGTTGACAATTGAGAGGCAGGCCAAAAGAGCCAGACCTCAACTCCCGCAAGCACAACTAGGTGAGTACATTAACCAAACACCAGCCAGAGTGGTCCACAAAAACCAAACACCAGCCAGAGTGGTACAAACAACAAGTGAACTACAGTAATCAAACACCAGCTAGAGTGGTCTACACAACAAGTGAACCACATAAACCAAACATCAGCCAGAGTGGTCCACACAACGAGTGAACCACATTAACCAAACACCAGCTAGATAGGCCCAGACTACAAGTTAACGACCGAGTCTTCACAATTTTCTTTCATTGATCTATGGCACCACTATCTTTGAAAAGAGTTTGTATTATTTTAATTGTATTTCTAAACTAAATACAAAACTAAAAAAAAATACTGTAATATGATTGACATCTGTTATTTGAGAAATTATTAATGGTATTGGCTCTAGTTTTCAAAACAACTCGAGGCTTCCTGCAAGTGCCCAGTCAATGGGGCGACCCATGAAAGGGCTGACGCCCCTTACGAGAAGCCTGCTGACGAGCAGAGCGAGGATTGTGCTGACCAGATGACGCTGGCTCCGAAGGAAGTGCAGGCTTTGAAACTGGCACCAATGGTCCACCTGAAAAAAAGAACACCGAACCTTGGCAGAACCCCCTTCCGGGAAGCCCGAGAATGGCTACCCTGGAGAAGCAACAATTTTGACACAGGACGGCAACTAGACGAGGCCACCAGCAGAAACCGAGTGTCAGCACTGTCTGCAAAAAACAACGGACATAAGGGAACAAAAACCTAAGAGCCAAAGCCCAAGCAGATTCCAAGGAGAGAGCGGGCATGGCCTGACGACACGCGAGGCAAGAGGCAAAGAACAGACACCACTCCCTGAGAATCGGTGCAAACAGTTTCAACAGCACGGCTGACACTCAAGCAGCCAAGGCCAGCACCTCAAACAAAGTCCCGGCACTCAACTCCTCCACATCCTCCCCAAGCCAGCCCAAGGACAACTCAAGAACTGAAAAGAAGTACAAGACTGATGCTAAATGCCCACTAGTGCATATGTCCTCTGCAGCCAAAGACGGCGAAAGGGTGGGAAGCTGCACGTGCAGCTGCACAAGACCAACATCCCGAGGTAGCACAGGGGCGAACAGGCCCGCATTAAGGTGCTCAAAATTGCCCTAAAGTAAACCTGTAGAACAGTAGCAGCCTCCCCGCCATTCGAGCGTGCAGGTCTGACAAAACCCATGCCATGCTTCCTGCAAAAAGAAAGAGCAATCTGCCAGCCAGGAAGACCCTGGAACCTCATAGCGCACCTAATATGGGAAAGAAGAACCGAACTCAAACGAGGACGGATCCATCACAGAGGCAGAATCCTGGTCTTGCAGGAGGTACGGTGCAAAATGCCTCCCGAACCTTCTTAGGGGAGATTTGAGAGGCAGAAAACCTCCAGAAGGAAGGAGCTGAGGAACCCAAGAAACCCAGAACTGAACTACTGGAGGAGCCGACCCCAAATCATATTCATACAGGGAAGGTGGGTAAGAAAACCCCTTTCCCTGCACCAACACTCCCACGAAGAGGGCACCAAAACCCAAGTGGGATCAAAGGGGCCCCAAGCCCCCCCAGGTCAACTACTTCCCAGCCCTGGAAGCCTCCAAATCAGTACCCAGGGCAGAGCTATCTTCCATGCCCTCTACCCCTGAAGAAAAGGCAGAAACCAGAGGAAAGGCAGCAAAGTAGGTGGTTGGCTGTTAGGACCCAGAAGCCTCGGTGGGAGGAGCAGGCTCGAATGCTTCCGTCTACGACTGGAATGGGGCAGACCCCAAAGCCGCCAGTCTCTCATCATCAACTAAACCAAGCCCCGACTCTGAAACCCTCAGATATTTGGGAGCCGGGGACAGGGCAAAAACCGCCAACCGAGAAAGGACTTGCAGGTACGGACTAAATCAAAGTCAAAGCAACTAACACCCCAAACAATTAAGGCAGTTTGAGGCAGGGCAGTCGATAAAGGCAGCGTCTGGGATGCTCTCTGACGCAGGTTCAAATCCTCATCACGGCCCTTTTGGATTTGTTCATAACACCCCAAAGTCCGAGTCCCTAAAACCAAAATGTGGTAGCCCTCAGGGCATCCGAGCGGACAACAAACCTAGCGCGTTGCAACAATCTAAATTTAGAATGCAACATGGAAGTCGCATGAACTCTTATCTCAGTTACAGTAGAATGGGTAAACTGGAGCACGAGCAGAGAACACGTTTTGCAAGACCCCAGGTAAAAGGTGGTGTTGACCCAACAGGCAGCCTGATGGAGGCTAAACAGGTGTGGTGTTGACCCAACAGGCAGCCTGATGGAGGCTAAACAGGTGTGGTGTTGACCCAACAGGCAGCCTGATGGAGGCTAAACAGGCGACTTATCCTAAGACAAGGGCACAGTTCAACTTTCAAACTCTCACAAGGCGAGGTGGTACCTAGAAGAAACATCCAACGGTCAACCAAGCTATTTTCCAGGGCCCGTAGGGGGTTTTCCTACAGGAACCCCAAGCAAGGTGCTGCTAAGCCGGTGGACCCCAAATGTCAACAAAGAGGGAGATGGGCTATAAACTGGACCCCTGTGACTTGTACAAGCACGAGGGCCTAGAGGATGACCATCAAAATATCTTCGGTGGACTAATAGTCAAACAAGGCAGACTCCCTCCAGACAACGAAAACAAAAATAAAAGAGAACCAGAGTTGAATGTAATGAAACACCATTTTCTGGGCAAGACCCTGAGGCTCCCCGGAACTATCCAGGCTGATATGTAATATATTAGATGTTGGAATCAGTGTGAATGGAGTTCATAGGCCTACCGGGGACAAAGCCCTATTCTGGTTGAAACTACTATTGAAAGTCAAATGAAAGGACAGAACTCCCCAAAGAAAAACAAGCAAACGAGCATGATGTTACCACTTGCCGCGCCGCCGTCTGTTCAGCTTGTCCCCTCCCCGGGAGGGGGAAAGGAGACCCCCAGACCCCTTGTGCCTGCAACCCACACTTTCAGTTCTGAGGCTGGATGTCAAAACACACGAAAAAGCTGCTGACCGGAGAGAGGGAGGGATGCCTGGGAGCCTCCAGGTCTTACCCAGAAAATGGCATTTCATTTCATGGGCTCTTGAAGGGGAGCCTCTTCAGCTCCTCGGAGCTATCTACCCAAAGACAAGAACAATAGAGGGACAAACCCAGGAGGCAGAAACCACGCTCCCAAACCCAATAGCAAGACAACAGGCAACACCGAATGACCCCCACGGATGACCCGGGAGACCCGAACCCTGGAACAGAGACAAGGGTAACCCGGGTCAACCCAAAGCACAGTCATGGCCACAGAGGCCACGGCACGCATGCAACGGCTGAGAGCCATGAGTACTTGGGAAATTACTCTTGCCTCGCGCACCACCAGAGAAACCTTGCCCCTCACCACAAGGCACAGAGCAAAGGACAGAATTCAGAAGCCAGAGCCACAGCAACCAATGCCATTCACATCAGCCTAAGAACTGAAGATGTGGGTTGCCGATATGAGGGGTCTGGCGCTCCCCCCTTCCCTTTCCCGAGGAGAGGGGAGCTGCGCAGACAGTGGCACAGCAAGTAGTGACATCATGCTCTTGTTTTTCTTAGTGGGAGTTCTGTCCACTCGTTTGACATTCAGTAATAGTTTCAACCAGAATAGGGGTTTGTTTTGGGATGCTTACCTTTCTGGGTACCTGACCCTGTTGATGGGAGACATAGAATGCTCCAAATCACATGTGCTATTCTATAGGTCATTGCTCCTCGTGCCTCTCTGAGGGGAGGCCAGGTTCTGGCTCGTGGTCCTCAGTAGGCTTATAAACTCCATTCACACTGACTGATGCCAAAGTCTAATATATTACATATTAGCCTGGATAGCCTGGATAGCTCAGGGGAGCTGAAGGGGTTCCCCCCCCCCCAGAAAAACCTCGCAAAAGTACAATGCCACGAGAGGAAACAGGAACAGGAACATGGCTACCGCATAGGTAATTGTGCATTGCAGCACCCCGTGCCCCAACCAGCAACACCCACGATGTCCTACCCAAGGCCAAACAAAAGCCACGAGACCCTAACTGGCCCCAAGGGCGGGGCAAATGCCGAGCAGCAAGAACCCCAACGGAAGTGGAGTCCCGAAAGCTCTAGGTAAGGCAACAGTAAACTAAAGAGTAGTACTTACAGGGCGCTTAGGGAAGGCAACTCTAAGTGCATGTACAGTAGTTCCAGTACACTGATGTTACTCCTGGCCACCGTACCACAAAAGGGAGGGAGTACCTAATACCTGGTTACCTGGGAGAACTTGGATAAGGGAGTACCTAAGCAATAGGAAGCAGAGAGTTACAGTGAGGGGTGAGACCTCAGATTGGCGTGAAGTCACCAGTGGAGTCCCACAGGGCTCTGTACTCGGACCTATCCTGTTTCTGATATACGTAAATGATCTCCCAGAGGGTATAGACTCATTCCTCTCAATGTTTGCTGACAACACCAAAATTATGAGAAGGATTAAGACAGAGGAGGACAGCTTGAGGCTTCAAGAAGACCTGGACAAGCTGCAGGAATGGTCGAACAAATGGTTGTTAGAGTTTAACCCAAGCAAATGTAATGTAATGAAGATAGGTGCAGGGAGCAGGAGACCAGATACAAGGTATCATTTGGGAGATGAAATACTTCTAGTCAGAGAGAAAGACCTGGGGGTTGATATCATGCCAGACCTGTCCCCTGAAGCTCATATCAAGAGGATAACATCAGTGGCATATGCCAGGTTGGCTAGCATAAGAACGGCCTTTAGAAACTTGTGTAGGGAATCTTTCAGAACATTATATACCACATATGTCAGACCAATCCTGGAGTATGCAGCTCCAGCATGGAGTCCATATCCAGTCAAGCATAAGACTAAACTGGAAAAGGTTTAAAGGTTTGCCACCAGACTAGTACCCGAGCTGAGAGGTAAGAGCTATGAAGAGTGACTACGAGAATTAAACCTCACTTCGTTGGAAGACAAAGTTAGGGGGGATATGATCACCACATTCAAGATTCTCAAGGGAATCGATAGGGTAGATAGAGACAGGCTATTTAACACAAGGGACACACGCACTAGGGGACACAGGTGGAAACTGAGTGCCCAAATGAGCCACAGAGATATTAGAAAGAACTTTTTTAGTGTCAGTGGTTGACAAATGGAATGCATTAGGAAGTGATGTGGTGGAGGCTGACTCCATACACAGTTTCAAGTGTAGATATGATAGAGCCCAATAAGCTCAGGAACCTGTACACCTTCTTAAACAGAGTGGTAGACGGTTGGAACAAGTTAGGTGAGAAGGTGGTGGAGGCCAAGACCGTCAGTAGTTTCAAAGCGTTATATGACAAAGAGTGCTGGGAAGATGGGACACCAAGAGCGTAGCTCTCTTCCTCTAACTACACTTAGGTAATTACCTGTTGATTGACGGTTGAGAGGCAGGACCAAAGAGCCAGAGCTCAACCCCCACAAGCACAATTAGGTGAGTACAAAGAGCAGGAAACTCCACAAGGGCACAAATTCTGCCAAGAAATCGAGGCCAGAATTGACAACCGCCCCAAAGCACATCAGCCTACGAACTGAGGTGAAGGAAGCCTACAAGGCTTCTATCAACACTTACGGATGATGAAAGATATTTGTCTCAAGAAGATGACAAAATGAAGGAAACAAACCAAAATGAGCCAATATTTTGCAAGAACTAGTAGCAGAAAATCAACCAGCACAGCCGGACCCAGCATGAGCACAGCGGTGGCTAGCACCAGTACAACAACAGCAGCCAGCACCAGGTCAGAAGCAGCTGAAGCCAACACAAGCACCAGCAAAGCTGATGCAAACATCTAAGAATGCCGTGTGCGGAGTGTACAGTTTAAACAAGTGTTAAATTTAAATACAGTACATAGTGTTAAAGTGTTAAAATTAAATTTGCAGAAATTTTAGTGTACAACAGTTTTCATAAACCATACTATAGTATTCAACATACAGCAAGACTACATAATCAATACAAAGCTAACTGTACAATACAGTACATATTTACTGTAAATTATTCACAACTCCATGAGAATTCAAGATGGACTCCAATAATACTGTAAATAAAACTATGATATAGTATTTTTTAGTAGATTAGTAATATATAGGTATAGTATATAATATGATAATGCATTTTTATTGTGTACAAGATAAAAGACTGTTGCAAACGCCTCCTGGAGGCATCACGTGTTGCAACGAATCCCTCACTGCAACGAACTGGGGTTGGTTGCAAATAATTCGCTGAATCAGGGGTGCACTGTACCGTAATTTACTATATACTTCCAAACACTAATGTCATACATTTTGTCCACTACACTAAACTGAAGTAGCTACTATTATTACATACTCACTTTGTTCTTTTTATTTATAGTGACACAGTCACAGCTGGCTTTTCAATACCTTAGCACAGTATCAATATCCCTGACGTTCTATTAAAATTTCTGTATTCACTTCATTCTTTTTTTATCTACTACATTTCTTATTTAGGCATATATCTTACAATCACATGCACCTTCCTTATTTTTTTCAGCTCTCACTGATGCATGTACCTATTCCACAGATATAATAGGTAATATACTATCTTCTACTCTTCAAACATCATTGAATCAGGACAACTCCTGTAAATATCCTAAGTGTTATCTCCAATTACTTTTAGTCTTCTTCCCCATTCACCACTCCCACTGCTTTACCCTTCCATCTGTCTATCTACTGTTCTTCTTTACTTCTATCCAAAAGAGTTTTGTATTTTCAGAATGAGTTTCTTTCATTTCTCTCTCTACCCCTTCATATACGCTGTTTTACTGCTCTACTAATCTTTTCACATACCTTTTACTATTATTATATTTCTGTTGTATCTTTTTCCATTCACTTAAATCCACAAAAGGCACATTTTTATACATCAACTGCATTTGCCACTTCTTTGTACCACCAAGCAGTTCCAATTATTCATTTGTCAGTTTGAGTAGCTCAATATACATTATCCTTAGCCAAACTGGTACATGGTAAAACTGATCCTCAAAACTGTTACTGAATAAATAAATAATCTATAAATATGAACCATATTGTTTCAGCCCCCATTCTATATGAAAACAAAATCAACATTACCTTTACAATACAATCAAGGCTTTCTTCCTCCTCCTCTTCATCATTATCTGAAGAATTTGATGAAGCTTTTTTGCTGCCTCCCCCACTATTTTCCATGTGGTTACGTGCGTGTATAGAGTCCACTTCTAATAAAAGCTGGTCTCGTTCCTCTAATTTGCACAAAAAATAAGTGCTGAATGTAAAGAAACACTAATTTCTGGGTGAGCCCCAGTCGCTCCCTGAAGCTATCATCTCCGATGTAAGTGCCAACTACTAGGTGTCATCAGTCACGGAGTTCTCTGGCCTACTGAGAACCCAGAACAAGATTGTCCCTTCACAGAGGCAAAGGGAGCTGTGACATTTATATATTAAGTTATTAATTTATACCACCACCGAGAAAGGCACCCAGAAAGTCAGCGAATCAAAACAAACTATAGTTGGCTACCTTCAAGACCTGCAGGCTCGAAAACAGCCATAGAACTCCCCAAATTATGTACACAAATGACTGAAAATGTTATAACCCAGCTCCTGCTCGTTCACCCTACTCTTTCCCGGTCATTTAGGGGGTGGAGAAAGATAGGTCATGGCTTCCAGGCTGTTCCATGATCAGTTCAAGGAATGATGTAAGAACTCTCTGGGAAAGGGAGGGTATCAGGGAGCCACCAGGGCTCACCCAGAAATTGGCGTTTCATTACATTCAACGCTTATTTTCTGGGGGAAGCCCCTTGTGGCTCCCTAAAGCTAAAGCTAGCTACGAAGGGAGAAGAGTCAATGGGCAGGCAGCAGGAAGGAGGGAGAACCACCTATACAGCAACGATGAAGACACACCCAGTCGAAAAGCGAGCCAAGACCAGATAAGGCCACCAAGACCCAGACCCCCAAATTCAGGATAACCAGAAGCCCCACGCACAAACAACAGTCTAGAAAATGTATACGAGAACAGCCGAGAAATAACAAACCTTCAAACTCCACGGACACAAGGAGAGACCACAGGCCAGCAATCAGAGAGATGCTGCAGACAACCCGAAAAGCCAAAACCCTGGAACCAGGGATCCAAGAGACCAGGGCAACCCACAAAGTAGCCACTGAGATAGAACCAGCAGCACAAAGGGCATGGCAGAAACCACCACTCAAGAACAGGTAACGCCCTCCCTGCCAGGACCAAACAAACTCCGAAACAGCTAAGGAAGCTTCGACCCCGAATACAAGCCACAGCCACCCACCAGTGCCACAGGAAAGAACATGAGGCGACAGAGGCGGCATAAGACTTCGACCAAGAGAAGCCAAAATAGAAAGAGAGATCTGGACAAAATGAAGGACAGCAAAGAGGAAGAAAGAGTGGCAAACAAGCACCACGGACCACACTACTGCCCTGAAGAAGACTGCAGGTGGGACCTTCAACAAAGCCACCTGATTGCCAGAAGGATGGTAACACACTTGTGTCAAAACCACCAGAAGCAATGAGCAGAAGTGAAGATCGAACCAGCATAATATGTCCCTGGACCGACCCGCTGGAAAAGGCAAAGCTGTGAAAAAGAAAATGACTGGGTTCAGACACCAAGCAAACTGCAGCAGAACCAAGGCTGGGTTGGCCACTAAGGAACCAAAAGGACCACCAGCCCTGGGAGGACTCCAACAGCATCAGGACCCAGAGCAACAACCGGATGGGGGGGAAAGCGTTAAAGAAACTCCCACCGCAACAAGTCCAGCCAATAGGCGGCCACTGCAAGGTCCCTGCAGTCGGAGAATGGCACCATGTATGGAGGGATGATGAACACTCCCAAGACATGAACAGCATTGAAAGCTAACTCCCGAGAATGCAGAAGAGCTACACACAGAGTCCAGCTCCAAAGAGGCAGGAACTGAAGCTTACTGCAGGCTTTCCCCCACCGGCTGATACAAAGATCCATGGGGGAACAGTTCAAATAGAGTTGAACAAAGGAGCCTGGAAGAATCCGTATCCTCCGCAGTGTATGTCACATGGCCACGAACTCCCACAATGGACAGCACACCCGACGAAGGAGGGGAGACCAATGCCCCAGACCAGCACGATGATCGCTAGTGACAAAGCCCCAGCCGAGAGCCAAGGCCTCCATAATGATATTGAGTGTGGGGGCGAAGGAAAGCCCCTGGAGAAGAAACACCTCAAAGAGGAAGCCGGTGACACAGCAGCCAGTAAAGGGCCATTCGAGTTCATACCCAGCAGTTGCGGGAGTGGTGAAGAGGGTGCCCTAGAGAAATCAGCACATCCCCCCAAGCTAAACTCTGCCTAGGGGATAAATGAGAAGGGCAAAGTTGAGGCTCTCATACACTTGCTCGAGCAACTATCAAAGACACCCAAGGCCAACTCAACATCCTGCAGCTTGGACAGGGCCACTGAAGGTAGGGACAAGGCCACCAGAGGCAGAGACAGCGACACCAGCCAAGAGCCCAGACAAGGCCCACCAAGTCAGAATCCAGGCCGGAATCAACTTGGACTTCTGTCAATTCACCAGGAACCCATACCCTGTGATCTGGGAAAGAACCAGAATCCTGGCTAGCAGACACACAGACTGGTTGGGAGCCCAAAACAACAGTCATCAAGGTAGGCCAAAACCCAAACACACAAGAGACAAAGACAGGGCACCACGACCTGAGCCAAGCATGTGAAAACATGAGAAGCTAGATCCAGGCCAAACGGGAGAACCTTGAAGCTGCAAGCTCAAGGCCCCACCACAAATTATGACCAATCCCTGAACTGCAGATGGATAGGGATGTGCCAAGAAGCATACCAGAAGTACAGGGAAAGCACCCAGGCACACGGCTTGAGAATGAGACAGACCTGGGACAAGGCGGTCTCAAGAAAAAGGGACAAGGTATAAACCGGTTGAACCGCAAGAAGTTGAGAATGAACTGTAACTGACCCAGTTCAGTTCAACTCCACCGAAGGCCGACAGAAATGACCCGAAGGGCCTACAAATTGTGGGACCCAGCTAAAGCAAACTGGGCAAGTGACCCCCCACCACACTACTTCATCACTGGGAGTATTCATCAAAAATTAAAAAAAAAAAAAAAAAACACTATCGCAGGCTCTTAACATTCTTTGGAGACAGAACCTGGATACTGGTGTTATCCCTGACATATTCAAAACAGCAGAGATAGCACCACTCCATAAAGGAGGGAATAAGACAGAGGCAAAAATTTAGAGACCAAAAGCACACATCAGAGAACTGATGGTAGAACAGCCTGGAAGCCATGACCTGCCTCCTTCCTTCCCGAAAGTGAGGAGGAGGGTGGGGCGAATGAGTGGGTGCTGGATTATATTCGTCAACCAAACTGCCAGACCTCAATCTTTGATTTATTCCATCCTTTCATTTGCAATCTGACCCCAGGCACCTCCACCCACAAGAGGCCTATGTCGTTTCATGTCTGGTCACTGAGTTGCCATGACACGACCTGTGCACCTGCTTTGACGACCCAGTCTTGTTTTTGTGCCTGCCCGTGGTAGACAAACCCCTTCCCTTTACACCATTTTATATATGCATATTTTTTTGCATCCTGCTACAATGGAATCAGGAAATGCAGGAAATCTGTTGTTCAGGGCTTCAACAAGCAGTTGAGCAAAGAGAAAACATGTAACTTCCTTATAAAGTTGAAAATCTTTCAACTTCCTTATAAAGGAAGTTGAAACTGGAATTCCAAAGGGTGTTGTGTGCCATATACTGCACAAAGTTAGCAAAACCACAAAGTTAGCAAAAGTGAAAATCCAAGGGCATTTATGGGTGTCAAGAACATTATTCCTGTGTTTAAGTCTCAGCCCAGAGCATGGATGTCTAGAGCCATTTTTTGTGAATGGTTCTCAAGTCATTTTGAACCCAAAGTGAAAAACCATTTTAATTAACAGCATTGGTATGCCAGCAGACAGCAAAGTGGTGGTGCTGTTTGAAAATAGCTCAACACATCCACATGAAGATGAGCTATTTAACGGCAATATGTTTGGTACATTTTTGCCACCCAACACAACTTCCTTGATCCAACCCAATGATCAAGGGATAATTTTGAGCCTCAAACTCCATTTCAGAACTAAGTTTGCCAGACAACTCCATGCAAAGAAGGGTATCTTCAAGGACTTTATGAAAACACTTATTATAAAGTTAGCTGTGTGGAGTATTGCACATACATGGGAAATGGTCAAGCAATCAATCATGAAGCATGTCTAGAACAAACTGGCCTGCAGCTGTCTATTTCCTGATGACGACAACAGCAATGCTGCCGATTTTGAAGGATTTGGTGGAAAGAAAATAAGCGAGACGAAGAAATTACGACAAGAACTCCTTGTTTATATTAAAGGAATAAACAAACAGTCCCAACAACCGACACTGGTCACAGCCAATCTTGAGGAAGAAGTGGCTACATGGTTTGAATGTGATCGAGATGTTCCTACTGCACAAAGCATATCTGATGATATCATTCATTAATTTGGTGATAGAAAATAGCCAGGTGAATTTACTGGTTTCAGAAGATTCATCAGAGGATGATGAGGAAGACACAGCAACTCAAGCAAGCATGCCAAAGGTTTAAAACAATTTTAAAGTTCACAAAAAGAAATTCTGATACCAATCTTCAGGGTCTGATGGTATTTAATAGATTTTACAAAGTTTTCAAAACCGCAAAGAGATGGCTCGAGGTAATTAGCACTCAAGAGAGTTTTGAGAAGGCTTCCAGGTGAGCTTGAATTGAAGCCTCATGTGTTCCTCTATGTAACCCTCGACTCCCCAATATCTTACAATTAAGCCTCAACCCTCAATATTTACTTCCACCCTCAATTAATACCACTATATTCACCTAGCCATCATTCCAAGATCAAATGTGGAGAAAACATCTGGACACTTTGTGAGAACCCATATTTGTTAGTGTACTGTACCAATATTCTGTGGTGTTTTGTTTGAAGTATTTAATGAAACAATAATGTAGTGTTACATGCTTTTATACATAAAATGATTATTTTTCGTGCCTAAAGGGGAAGGGTCGACCAATTATCCAAACACGACTACACATCCAATTGTAATTGGTACCAAGGTGGTCAGAAGGGAGAATGTTAAGTGTACTTATAATATTTTCGGTTGTTTGCTTACTTAGTTCGGAGAGTTCTATGGCCATTATTGAGCCAGCAGGTCTTGGAGGCAGCTTG